ATTGTGAAAACTGAAAACTGGTTCAAAGTTTTGGAATCAAAGAGGTTAAAGCCATTTCTGGGATCAAAACAAAACAGGGAGGAAAGCAATGATGAACCTATAACAGGCAGAATCTGCTTGCACACTTCCAAGAAAGGCTTGGTCAGAATCTCTCCTGCATCAGACTTGACAGTCTTGAATCCTTCCAAGGCAGGAGCGAACACAGTCCCCTCCATCTTCCCAATTCACTGCGTACCCACATCATCATTTCAAATTCACATACCAAAAAAATAAGTAAACTTTACAAGCAAGCTCCAATCTTTATCAATAAACAGCTTAATCAAAACATTTCAACTAAAACCAATGATTTTAAAACAAGTTCCAGATGAACATACACTGTATCCAAATTTACAACATAACTTGATCATCGCATGTATAATTCAATGAGAGTGAGAAAAAGATCGGAGCTTACAAGCAAGCTGCTGGTACAATTTGCAGAGTTGGGTAGCTTCGGATGGCTTGGATCTGAGTAAGATCACAGAAAATAGTGAAGATCAAAACCAAAAACAACAATAAAAATGATGATAAACGAATCAAAAAAGAGGAAGGAAATGTTGGTTGGATTTGATATTCCGAAAATGGGAAACCTTTGCGGAATTGCGTGGAAAAATTACGAGAGAATCGGATTCTTCTGTGCTTTGAGAAATGGTGATGGTGGGATTGGGATTTGGATTGAAATTGAATTGCTTTTGGGAAGTGAACAATTTTTAAAAGCTCAAGTGATTGTAGGGAAAGGATTTTGACTAATTGACTGCTGGGACTGTGTCGTTTGGTGATTTGGGTGAGTGAATTGCGCGAATCCGCGGCATCTGGCATACGACATGTTGTACGCCAGCGGGCTTTGTGGCCGTTATGGTGTTTTATTTTTACTTTTTTTTTATCTTCTACACTTGGTACTGTTGCTGCTTCTTGTTACATCTATTTTTTCTTTCTTCCCCGACGAAATTATCTGTTACTTGTTAAGCGGAGATATTCATGGATTTAAAAGCGTTTCTTATCTTCCTCATAAGTCATAACCTCTCCAACTGAAGTTACCTTTGCATAATCATGAATCTTAAGATCCTGAATGAGTTAGATTAGGTCGGATAAACCGATCAAAGTGGGGTGGTGGATCGGTTCAAGCCTAGACCTACAAATCGTCAGTTGATCAACGTATCAAGTTAGACGGAAATGCTATG